TGCTGAGCATGTGCCATACTCCTGAGGCTGACAACCATTGCTTTAATTAAACTTATGGACACTTGTCAGAGTTTTGTATCTAAAATTATGAATGATTTCATCTTATAAAATATTTGATATTTTCTATATCCTATTAAGAAGTAAAATTATAAGCTTTCTACAGGTTTTGGCCTTCTGTATTGTTTCCTTACAGTCTGCTCATCTGAACTTTTTATACTTATCTCTAACTGTTTCGCCTTGAGCAACACATTCTTTGGATATCAGTTCTCTTACACACACACAAAGGTTCTTAAAATATTGTCCCTGGCCAAGCAGCATCAGCATCCTGTGGAGATTTGTTAGAAACGCATATCCTTGGTCCCCATGCCAGACCCAATGAATCAGAAACTCTGGGGAGGTGGCCCAGCAATCTGTGTTTTAACAAGCCCTTCAGCTGATTCTGATGCACATAATGTTTAAGAACTCAATCTTACCTTAGCTCCCTTCCTTTCTTGCTTGTAAATTCCTAGTTATCTTGTAAGACTCTAGCTTCCCGGCAGAGTTGCTCTCTCTTCTGTGTCCTATGGTACTTTATCAAATCTCTTTTATAGCATTTATATTGCTTGCATCTGTCTACCTTTGAAGGTGGAGGCCACAACATAAATTACTTTTGCATCTACATGCAACACCTACCTTGATGATAAGTTAAGTGCTGGTGAATAAATGAATGTATGCATGAGTGAAGGAGAAGAGCATTTAGGAGGAGTGGTGATCAATAAGGTCAGCTGCTATGGAGAGATCATGGAAAATAATGAAGGAAAAAAGCTTTTGGATTTCATAGTAAAGCAGGTGTTGGTGACCTTTGAAATGCTTGCTTCAGCAGAGTGATGGGCAAGAAGCCCAGATTACTGGGAATTAGGGACTTCTAACATGATGAAGACTTTCAAGTTCCCAGAGTTTCTTATTGATTGTTTATCTGAACATGTGGTAGAAAGAGAATTTTCTTGGGAGAAATAACTAAGTGACCTTAGGCTGGTTACTTAATCTCATTAAATCTGTGATTCCAAATAGGCAATAATAGTAATAATGTTTGGTTTCAGTTTTTTAAAAGAATAAAACAAGATCATTGTAACACCCTAGAATGATGCCTAACACTTAGTACTTAAGGGTCATTTCTTTTCCTGTGGCCAAGGGACTGGGATATACTGGTTTTCCAGGCCTGGCTTAAGGAATACTCTGTTCAATAAAACAGGAGAAAAAGAGTGGTTCCCCAAAAGGAAATCCAATTTCTGTTACTTGGAATGAAAGGGAGTAGATGCAAAGCAGGCAAAACAACTGATTCCATTTTATTGTGTAGAAAAGTGTGTTTTCAAACTGTGCTTCTGGGAACTCTAGGATTCCAACTGTGAGAGACTTACAGAAGTTGAAGGAAAGAAGAGAATAACAAATGACTGCAGGTTGTTCTCTAATCCATGCTGACTCTAGCTTCCCCAAGAATAGCTTCAATTTTATGTTTTGTACCCAATTTTGGGTTAAAATTTCATTTGAACATGGAATTTTAGCTGTACCATTGGTATAGAACAATTTAGCAGGTAGTTAGGCCCATAAAGTATAAAAGCAGGTACCTTTTGTTACTCCATACCACTGAAAAAGTTTTTGCTCTAACTTTCCTGCATCCCAATACCCAACTCACATTCCTAACCCTACTAAGATCCAGATTCAGACACGGGAAGAACATGACGTTAGGCAGAAGTCCAGTTCTCAGTTTATCGATGTTAATGACACTTAAAAAAAAAAGTCATCACTTAACATTTAGCTCATCGAGAAGACATCCCTACAAGTTGTCGACAACTTGGTGACTCAGTATGGTCTGGTAATTATACAGCAGAAAATTTTGATATAGTTAAAAAAATGACAGATCATAATGTTCAATGATATGTTTATGCTGAAGTTGACATTGGCAAGCTGGGCAGTTAAATATATTTCAGTCCTTTGTCTATGGCTCATCTCCTAGGTAATTGCTGCTTAATCACATTCTTAGGACTTTTTCCTCCTCTACTATTGAATTTTTAAAACATATCCAGACCAGTCTTTCATCCTCTATATCAGCCCAATGTGGCTCAGTGCCTGTTTGTGTAAATAAAGTTTTATTGGAACATAGACGTGCGCATTAGTTTTAGTCTCACTTGCATTTATAACAGCAGAGGTGATTGGTTGTGAAAGAGAATGTACCACAAGCAGTAAAAATATTAACTATCTGGTCTTTACAGAAAAAGTTGTTGACCTGTGCTCTATATTTTTGTGGCTTATAGCAGAATTACTACATCTTGACATATGTCATACTTAGGAAGAAGAATCAGGTAATGTCCTTATAATACTCTTACTCTCTGATGCTCTCAAAAACATATCTAGGGAAATGTTTTTGCCATATCTACTCTACCTGCACTCTTTCAATTCTCTGAACAATTTCTCTGTGCTTCGTTACGTACCCTCAACGGTTTTGTCTTCTTTATCTTATAAAATTGCTGGCTGTTTTTAAGGAATGGGAGCTAGAGGAGTGATATGACAGCTTTCCACCTAGCCCTTGAACACATTGTACACATACCTGCGTGTGCTTAATGCATAGGCACAAGATCCAAACACATGGGAAAAAATCAGGATTTGGTATCATTTTATTTCCCCTACTGAGCCCTCTGAATTTCATATTTGTTGTTGTATTAGCGTATTTTGTGAAGAAGCGATTGAGCTGGGCCAAGAGGTTTGGTGAAGAGAGTTGGGGGAGGAACAGATTTTTTCTGACCTGGTCACTGGATGTTGTAAGCAGAGCAGCCACTCATCAGTAGGCTGAGTAGTTAAGCTGTACTTGAAGAAGAGCAGGGATAATAATACCTCTTTCCTGCATTTTTGCAGTCTAAATGCCCTGTGGAGTGAGAGAAGACTTCAATCCCTAGGCTTGTGAATCCCTTATCTTTTGCAAACGTTAAATTAATTTTTAAGGCTATTTATTCAAAGTTGACTTAACCACTAGAATAGGAAAGATCAGACAAATCAGCTGCAAGAAATGAAGTATGAGAAAACCCGAACTCTTTGACAAAGTATTCCTGGGAGTAAATGTGTTGAATGAAGCCAGCGGGTAAATGATAAGGCCCTTTACACTATGGATGTAAGAAAGCAATTTATCAAGAGTACATGAACTCTCTAGTGACCACAAGTCAGTAGGAAATGAGAGTGGAGGAGGAGCCCTGAAAAAATACATTTGAAATACTAAAAACCATGTGTGTGCATGCATTTTTAAATACCTGCATTAATATGCAGAAATACTGGCATATTGAAATAAGAGTTTCAGAGTACACATGTACAGTACATACTGTTATAGGCTTAAGGTGGTAGCAAGAGTGGGTGAGAAAGGCCAGGCAGTGATTTAGAACTTATAGAAACTTTGGGATACTGTACTCTCAGATATAGTTAGGATTTGATGCTGGATGTTGTCTGATAGTGTTGCCACTATCCTCACTCATGAGATTAGATGTCCATCTTTCAGGTTTAGGTGTTTATCTGTTCTAATCTCTAGAAGGTCGTGTGTGTGTGTGTGTGTGTGTGTGTGTGTGTGTGTGTGTGTGTGATTCTAACAATCTCTTCTTTTGTGTTCTCTTAAGGAGTTCAAAGCATCTCTCATTCATTATCTCATTATCTTTGCAGCATCTCTTTGAGCCATGTAGATGAGACAGTGTTATCTTAATTGTTCACTTTAGAGAAACTGAGGGAAAATGTAATTACATTATCTTCAGCAGGGTTCCCAGTAACTCAGATAGGGATGGGGATTAGAATGTATGATCTTATCTTGGCTTTAAGCTCCAGGGGAGATACTTTTTCAGATATGAGGAGGGGAAAATGCCTAATTTTGAAATATTAGTCTTATTAAAAGTATTTACTTTGAAAATGGTCATCCTCAGTTTTTTGTATTGAGATAACACAGGAGAAACACACAGAAATTCTCAAACTTTGATTTTACATGTGTTCCTCCCCGCCCCCCCACCCATTTTCATCTGACACTAAACCCTGGTCAGAGCTGTTTAAAAGATAGCTAAATTATGACTTGAATTTATTTTTTTAATGGAATAACTTTCTTATTTTTAAAAAGATTTATTTATTATTTATTGACAGAGGGGAAGGGAGGGAGAGAAACATCAGTGTGTGGTTGCCCTTTGCAAGTCCTCAACCAGGGACCTGGCCTGCAATCCAGGCCTGTGCCCTGACTGGGAATCAAACCATTAACCCCTTGGTTCTCAGGCTGGCACTCAGTCCACTGAGCCACACCAGTCAGGGCTCCTGGATAACTTGAATAGAACATGCCAGTGAACACTAAACTAAACCTAACAGGTGAACATCAAGGGGTAAAATTGGGAGAACTAAGTCTTAGGGTAATCTCCCTAAGGGTAATCTCCCTTTGCTAGTTTAACCTGAAAGCTAACAGATGTTAGCTTTCCTTATTCCTTCTAAATTAGGTTTTTTAGGCTGCTGTAGTCTAAAGAACATTCTCTTCTTTAAACCATTCAGGTTTTATAAATGGTGAATCTTACTTTTAAAAAGTGATACTGGTTGAACCTATTCTTGGGTCATGAAGTGGGAATTGTTTTTTTTTTTCTTTAGTGGGGGGAGAGAGAATTCCATGGTAACTTGGGGTGAATCATAGTTCAATTAGCAAATTAATTAATCTGGTTTTTAGAGTCAGCCATAGTCATTGAGAAACATCCTCAGTGGTTCTCTTTCTGAAGTTGAATGTGTTTTGTATTTGCTTGCTGTCATCAGCAGTCTGCAGTCTGCAGTGTATAAATAAAACAGGGAGGGGGTGGGAAGAGGATTATTTATATCGCAAACTGTTGCTTAAACATGCAACATGTGATTGTCATGCATCCTAAAAAATGGAGTCCTGATAACTTCCAGTAACTTGTTTCTGCTTTATCTGTTTCTGTCCTCTCCCTTTGTTTCTTTATTCCCATCTACCTGCGGAACCACCACAGCCTTGGATAAGCTCAGCACCCAGCACCTGTACCACCCCACGCAAGTGGAGATTGTGCAGTCCAACGTAGTGTTTGACATCAGCAGCCTGATGCTCTATGGGACACAAGCGGTGCCTGTGCGGCTAAAGATCCTGCTGGACCGTCTCTTCAGTGTCCTGAAGCAAGAGGAGGTGCTGCACATCCTGCACGGCCTGGGCTGGACTCTGCGGGACTATGTTCGAGGGTACATCCTTCAGGTAGGGGGAAGACGTTGAAGCTAATGTCTGTGGCCAGCTCTAGGTGGGGTTGGTAAGAGCCCATTGCAAACCTGATCTCCTTCCTGTCCCTTGCTGTCCCCAGGCATGCACATCCTCTTCTGGTTAGAATGGTCCTTTTGGCAGGCTTGTCAGGGGATTGGAAAAAAGGAGTGATGTTCCCAGTAAGTCAGCGTCAGGCTGCAGTGGTGTATGTTAGGAAGGAACAAGTGGCCTGTTGCCTAGTGTCACTTTGCATCATTTTGAATCTAACTCGCTCTTCCCTGCAACATGAGCTTCCTGGCTTCTCTGGCAAGTCTTGTTGTAGCCCTACTAAATAGCAGGGCTCTTAGAGGTGGGATATGGGTATGCGGAAATCTGAGATTACTCTTCATCTGGGTTTAGTCTGGCTTGTTCTTACCCTTAATTTGTAGGTTTGGAGTTTTTTTGGTTGTGTCTGCACCCTAACTAATTATTGCTTCTTCATCCAAATCCAAGGAAGAACTGTAACCTCTATAAATTCCTTGCTTTTATAATCAGTCAACCTTCACACTCCAAAACACGCAGATATGGTTATAGATTTGGCCTTCATAGCACTTGTCCTTCCAGCCTGAGACCCTTCTTGGTGTCAGTGGCACTTCCAATCTGGTAAGGGTCTGAAAACTTTCCGGGAGGCCTGCAGCCTCTACTCCCTTCCCCCTCAACCTGCTTGCCTTTTTCATCATAATTTACAGTACATTATGAGTGGTTTTGCATTGTGTACTTTGCCTCTGAAATGTTTTTATGGCCATCTGTCTTCCTACGACCCTTGAAGGGTAAATGTTGAAAACAGCATGTTGGGAGACCCCAGGATCCAAAAAGACTACAGTGGATGATGAAGAAGTACTCCCTCCTGCCAAAGGAGATCACAGTTGGAAAAGGTAGACTCTGAAGTGATTTTTGAAATTTCCTATGGGGATAATACCAGGAGAATTGACCCCTTCAAAAACATTGTTTTTTTTTACTCTGCCAGCCTGTTTATTTCCTGAGTTACCTTGTGTTGTGTGCAAGGCCTTGGCTGCCAGCGTGGTATGTGATGAGTGGGGGCCTCAAGACTTCCCTTGCTTTAACCTGTCATTAAAACACACACATTCCGGTCATTCTCCTGCGTGATACCTCCAGGTGTTAACCAGGGAAGGAGAGCAAGAAGGGTTGATGAGTGGACGTAGAGGAAGAGGGGAGATGGAATAACCTTTCTGCTCCCATGACTGCTTTAGTTAACAGAGAATTATTTCTTAGTTTAGTGAGATGTCAGCTTGAAAAGCATAGAAAATTTGGCCTTCTGAAGATGATAGGAATAACTATACATTACATTTTATGTTTATAGAAGACTTTCACAAGCATTCTCTCATTTGCCTCATTTTGGGGACATTTCAGTGGGGTGAGTGGAAAGTTAAGTCCTGGGTGATCAGGGGACCTAAGGGGGGCACGCGGTCCAGGAGGAAGGGGCCAGAAAAAGCAAAGCATGGAGCCAATTTAACAATCCCTGATGATCTGGCCTTGAGACATATCCGTGCCACATCTTTCTGCAGATGTTTCCACAACATGATTATTAATGTCTATTTTGGATGGATTTTATCCTGCATGAAAGAATAAACCTCTTGCAAATTTTTAATGGAACTGTTAGCTTGGCTAAGCATTTTTTCCTGTATTTAAAACTTAAAGTATTTTGCCCCAATCTGGTATTGTCTTCATTGGCTTCAGTTTGATGCTTATTAGTGTTATCATCAATGCTGCATTTCAGTTCTGTGTGTGTATTTTTGCCTAAGATATGTGGAGCATATGCATGGTGTCTTTCTGTCGAAACAAGTAGATATTTGCATGACTGTGATCGTTTGCCATCTTAACAACCCAGTTTGCTGCAGCACTTTGTTGTCAGTAAATACAGAACCTTCTGGATGTTCTCTGGTATGGTCCTAGTGTTCTGCCTTGACCGGTGCCTGTTTTTTTTGTTTTACTTGAAATTATTGCATAGATGTTAATTTTCTCCCCAAATTTCAACATAGCTCTAAGGTAAGCATAGAAAAATACTCCGTAGATACAAAATTGAAAGAGAAATTAATATGAGAGAAAAATTCAGCTAAATCACAAACTGTTTATAAAGTTTCTTATTTTGGGGTGAAGTATTGCATATAAAGAATATGGTCATTTATTGTTATACTTAAGTTATGATTAATTTTCATTAATATGCATATGTTTGACAGTTTCAAATTTCACATAATCTAGCTCTCCATTCAGAGTCTAAATTGACATTTTGAGAAAATCATAGATGATTTTTACCTTAGAGGAATACTAGGTTTAATTTCTGTCTTGTTTATTGATACAATTGATGTAATATAGATTTTATTTAAATGATGCTTTTTGTTATTCAGCATTTATCATATACTTATTCCTTGGACAAAATAGTTCTTGGTTTTTAAAAAAAAGCAAGAAATTGAAGGACACAAAACTGTTATCACTTGTGTAGTGATATCACTTGCTCATTTGAAAAATAATAAAACAACCCCCCCAAAAATAAGAGCTAGATTATACAAATAAACCCCTTTCCTCTAAAGCAGTGTTATTTGCTTATTGGACAATATTTTAAAACTTATATATAGAATGATAAAGTATGCACAAATAACCTTGATAATAATTTTATGTAACATTTTCCCACAAGTAAACGATAAAATATGTATCCAAAGGTTGTGGAATCCTATAATACACTATTAGAGTATAAGACATTTTATCTGGCTAAAACTCATTGTCTTGTAGCCCTCAAGGCATCAATTTTAGCATTATTGCTCTCAACAACAGTATATTGAATATTATGTCAGTTAAAGGAGAATAATTATCAAGTCAAGTTAGGGTGGCTGTTAGTCTTACCACATATTGACTTGGTTAGCAGTCGGCTATAGATTGTGTTACTGGGCAAATGAAGATGTACGGGGAGTTGAACTGGTGAAGCCAAGATATTAATTTAACTTCCCTGGGCCCAAACCTACGTCCCTATGTATATGCAGCTACTTCTGGTTTCAGAGACAGTTTTGAATGTGGAAGGATTGCATATGTCTTATCTGTTCTAGAGTTTTTGGCTTTGGATGTGGGTGGGGACAAAGAAGATCAAGCCATTCACAGGTATCGTTGTAAGCATGTATGAAATGGTTATTTAAAGAAAAGGAGGAAAATATTGATGCCATAGATTCATTTAAAATACTAACAGTATCTTTCAAGAACCCTGTACTGTTTTGGTAAAAATTACTTTTCACCTTTGTGATTATCTATGCAATTCATAAACTAGCCAGCTGGGTGTAAAATGCATAGTATACTTGGACTAAAATGATTTAAGAATCCAGGAACATCCTAAAGGTAAACAGTCCAGTATTCTCCTGTGTACCAATTAAAGTATTCATTCAGAAAGTATAGGAAAAAAATGAGATAAATTTGAAGCGTTTTTCCACAAAGTAGCAGCAAATGGAAATATGCAATTAGATGCTAAAATCTAGATATAAAGGAACGTAAGGGTTTTTCTGCTGCTAAAGAATAATTCTTTTTTCAATTATGTATCTCATGGCACATTTATTGATGACAAATAAAAGCAGTGTTCTATTCTTTTCCCATTTTCCCTGTCTTTGACCTGGGATAAAAAATATAGGTGATTATCATTGTTGAATTAATCATTTAAAAATCAAGTTTTCACTGTCTCTTTTCAGTTGAATTTGTAACTGCCTTGCCTGAGCTCATAGACCAGCCTATCTTTGGAAGTCTCCTTTGCAAATGAGTCCTGCCAGAATTCACAGAACCATATCAGACACTCTGCATAATTAGCTGAGGTGTCAGCAGCCTTTTGAGAGAATGAGAAGTGATGCATATTTCAAATCACCTGTGTCTTGATACTATCAGAACTAATAGAACAAGCAGCACTTTAGAAGCACATGTCCCAGAGTATTCTAGGGCAGCAGTCTTCCAGAGATAAGAATTAAGACTTGGAAGCAAGTATTCTCTGGATCTTTCTCTTAGAGCCTCTTGCTAATATTAACATAATAAAGGCTCTGGGAAGTTCTGGAGTAAGTGATTTGTGAGAGTAGGTAAGGAGCTTCCACCAACCTTTCCCACTTAATAGCCTCTTCATATCATCCTCATAAGAAGTCTTCATTTCCTGAACACGCTCAGCTCTTCTTCAACTAGGTGTGTTTGTGTGGACACTTCTGCCTGGGCAATTTCTTGTCCTTTAGGTGTCAGCCAAAGTCCCACTTTTCCCCAGAGACCTTTTCTATCTAGCTTCACCAATGCATGTTTTTCTAGTATTGGCTGTATCTAGTGTGGCTGTTTCCCTTAAGCTCTAACCCAAATTTAAATTAATCAATTAAATCAACCGTTAAAATGCACCCCCTCCAGGCTTCCTCACTAGGGAACACTGAGAAGACAGGGTACCCATTCAATATTTGTTAAATGAATGGGTATAAAAAACTGGTATAGCTTGATGCTTCACCACAGAACTCATGGGGTATTCAGTAACTTCAGTTGGGCCAAAAAGGCCCTTAGTCTTTCTTCAGACTTCCTAGGGACTGAATTTTGTGACTGCAGCTGAGCTGGTGAGGGTAGTAAGAAGATAATTAAGGCTCCCACACCCCCTTGCTAGTGTTTTGTGGTATCCATGTGGTAGAAAAACATAAATATTAAGCAAACACTTGTATTTAAATAGCCCATTGTGGAGCAAGTTCACATACATTAGTTAGCTTTTTGAATTCCCAGTGAATTAACATTTGAAGTAGTTTAAGCTCAAAGAGGTTGACTTTCCTGTAAACACACAGCTGTTAGCTGGCACAGGTAGTGATGCACTGCAAGCTTCCTGAGGATAAGAACCACTTACCTCTTGTTCATCACCGCGACCCACCTCTCAGCGCCCAGACTGGCATATACAGGGCTTACTAAATATTGAGGGAGGAAGTTTTCAAATATGATTTGAACAAGGTATCTAACTC